TGTGTTTAGTTGGGTTTTTTTTTGCCTACTAATGGTTCTATGGAAGTCGTATGAACGTTCCCTCTTTGGAGGAAGGGTTAACTCAAGATGTAGGAGATAACAATTCTTCCATGAATGTCACTGTCATGGGAACTGTTCCATATGGGTCATAGGCACAGGCGCCAAGTAACTCTTCTGGGGGGCTGGAGGGAGTCACAACTGCACAATAGGTATTATACAGCTATTTTTAAAAGCGGTCATTCACATTGCTTTGCCATTTTTATTGCAGACTTTATTAGGAAGATATAAGCTGAAATGTAAAATGCTGGAAATAGTTTTTCCTGAAATGTGTACAGCAGGATACGGTCTCTTCAGAGAACCTTTCCACATGGTTTATGTCAGCATGTGTTGCTTTTGCAACAGTTCACATCAAATTAAAACGTTGCTCGCTTATCGAACGTTGCCAGCGGCCTGTCTGTCTTCAGTAGATGAAAGAGCAGCTGTTACAGTCTGCAAAGTGACATCTTGCTAAATGTTCAAGAGTGGGTGATTTTGTTTATTTACATTTTTCTTTTGGACATGAATGTCATAGGACTCCTGGCTATAGGCAAGGTTTATGGTGTCATTCACTATAAAAATGGAAGCCTTTATTATGATCGGTTACTGTGCACCATTGCTTTCTTAAAGACATTGTACACTTTCTTTTTTTTTTTTTTTAAAGCTGAACAAAGGTAGCCTATATTCCCTTTTCCTCCAGTGCTGGCATCTTCTTCTGTGGTCTGGGTTTTTTTGCTATTTTCATTGGCCAACGTGGGATTTTGTCACTCCTGCCCATGCTCAGGAGGTTTTCATTCCAGCACACAGAGATCAGGCCGGATGCTGTAAGTTGAGATGTGCATGCACAGCTCAGTTTACATGCCAGAGAATGCTGCAAACAGGCAGGTAAGTGTATTCTATACTTTTGCAGTACAAAACCTGCCTGCTTGCAGCGAACAGCAGTGGAACGTTAGCTTTAACTAGATAATAGTGTATTCCCTGTGTTTGTTTGCCTTACCTTGTAATGATAGGCTCATGTGTTATGGCTATGGCTTGTAGTGTCCATTCTCATCTGTTAATATATTAATCCACCTAGCTTGTCCCTAGGGATAGGCAACGTCTTTTTTTTCCCAGATCACACAACATCCAATACGTGCTTTACTATTTCCTCTGTGCATCACAAGTGGGAGATTGCTATTGTTATGAAACACATTTCTTCTCTTCATTGCTCTGCTTGTTTGTGGCTGTTTCAGATCTAATTGCTGCACCTGCAGAGCACTAAACCGAGAGAACCAGGAATTGTAGTTTCTTCACTGGAAGTATTAGTTCTCACACTCCAGACAGGGTTAAGCCTTATCCCGTGCAATGCCATGCCGCATGCCTGATGTTTCAACACCAACTGAAACTTCTGATGTATCCACTGTATTCTAGCACCAAGAGTAAGTGAATCCGGTGGATGCATCAAAACGGCTGTGTGAAAGTATCCTTACTCTACTACAGTGGGGAAAATAATTATTTGATCCCCTGCAGATTTTGTAAGTTTGCCCACTTACAAAGAAATTTAAATTTTTTTATAATAGGTGTATTTTAAATGATAGGGACAGAATATCAACCAAAAATCCAGAAAAAAAACACGATACAAAGGTTATAAATTGAGTTGCAGTTCAGCGAGAAAAAAAATAATTATTTGATCCCCTAGCAATCAACAATAATTCTGGCTCCCACAGACTGGCTATGTGCTTATGTACACAGATTAGTCCTGTCAATTTAAGAAGGTGCTCCTAATGACAACTCTTTGTGTATAAAAGACACCTGTCCACAGAATCTTTCTTCCATTCAAACCTCACTCCCATGGAGACCCATGGAGACCAAGACCAAAAAGCTGTTAAAGGACGACAGGGACAGGATTGCAGACCTGCACATGGCTGGAGTGGGCTACAAGACCATCAACAAGAAGCTTGGTGAGAAGGAGACAACTGTTGGAGTGCTTATTCGCAAATGGAAGAAATTCAAAATAACCATTAATCACCCTCGGTCTGGAGCTCCATGCAGGATTTCGCTTCATGGGGTAAGGATGATTATGAGAAAAGTGAGGGATTAGCCTAGAACTATAGGGGAGGAGCTTGTGAATGATCTCAAGGCAGTTGGGACCACATGCACCAAAAACAAACCATTGGTAACACAATACGCCACCATGGATTGAAATCCTGCAGCGCCTGCAAGGTCCCCCTCCTAGAGAAGGCACATGTACAGGCCCATCTGAAGTTCGCCAATGAACATTTAAATGGTTCAGAGAAGGATTGGGAGAAAGTGCTGTGGTGACATGAGACCAAAATTGAGCTCTTTGGCATTAACTCTACTCACTGTGTTTGGAGGAAGAAAAATGCTGACTATGACCCTAAGAACACCATCCGTACAGTCAAGCACATAGGTGGAAACCTTATGCCTTGTGTCCGTTTCTCTGCTAAAGGTACAGGCTGACTTTGCTGCACTGAAGGGCCAATGGATGGGACCATGACGGGGCAATGTATCGTAAAATCTTGGATGAGAACCTTCTCCCCTCAGCCAGAACACTGAAGTTGTGTTGTGTACTGCTTAGACCTCACTGAACTGAAACTCAATTTGCAACATTTGTATCATGTGTTTTTTTCTGGATTTTTTGTTGATATTCTGTCTCTATCATGTAAAATACACCTATGATAAAAAATTATAGTCCCTTCATTTCTTTGTAAATGGGCAACTTGCAAAATCTGCAGGTGATCAAATAATTATTTTCCCCACTGTATAGACTGTGCATACAAGGCAACAAATAACATCAGGAACCTACATGATCAGTGCACATTTTATGCAGATGAAAAACACAAGTTGCAGGTAGGAAGGTTTATAATGCCTTTAAAGCAGTACTTTGGGCCTATTCTATGGACATTAAACTGTTATTGTTAAAGTCTTAACCCTTTGAGGACCAAGGGACGTATTTGTCCCATGTTTGTAATTGCGTGTATCATCTGATGAAGAACTTAAAACTCTTTTTTTTTTTTTTTTTTTTTGGTTTGAGTCAAAATATTAGTTCTTATCAACAAACAACAAATGGATCTAGCTTTTTGCCAATTATTTCATGAAATGGCTTAGTTACAGCAACTGAAGTATACGAACTTTAAAAATCAAAAAATTGATTCTTTTTGGCGTTCCAAAACCTTACGGTCCTCAAAGGGTTAAACAGTAAAAGAGATCTAAAATAAGCCACCCCTAGACTCTGTAACTGTTGTGATATTTGATAATTACTTCAAATGTACAAGCAAAGACCCTAAAATCCAATTTCACTCAATTTCTTAAACAGTCATTCTCAGCCTGGGTTCCATTTAATTTTAAGCTCCTTCCAAAGGTTACTATGGATTTTTTGAGCTGTGGCTGATTGACCTCTCATTTGATGGCACCTAATTTATTATTCCAGGGGGCTATTATATATTATATTATAGGTCTATTATTGCCACTCCTCTGAAAAGCAATCGCCGGTGGATGCTTGACAGGTGTTTTTCCTTAATCCTCTGAATGCTGACCCACTGAGCAGCATCCACGTGTATTGCTGTGATAGTTGGACAGTTGTAACGTGGTCCTATCCACCTGAAATTGATGGCAGTGCACCTACCAAATATGGCATGGCTTCTAATTTTTTTTCTGTGGCATCTGTTCAGTCCTAAGTAGCAGCATTTCTGTGTTTAGGTGGGTGGTCTGAAGGCAGTAAAATCCTGGCTCAGCCACCTGCTTTTTCCATCCCTGGGCCCCCTGCGTGAAAAGCCCTACAGGTGGCAACATGACCACTGCTGTATTGGTTGCAGTCTTCCTCCTAACCACCAGTGTAAGTGACATATTCCCCATTGACCCTCAATGAATTGGTTTTAGTAAGGGTTTCATGTGACCAGAAATTTTTTTTAGGGGTTTCTCTGGGGATCAAAGGTTAAACATCTGTATCACATATATTAGAGGGCTGACAGGCAGCCAAGATTTTCACCCATTTAGAAAAGCTAAGATTTACATGCCTCTGCTGTCTACTTTGAAAATTATTTTCTTCACAAATCCTATAGCTACTGAGGTGAGTGAGGGCTTGTTTAAAGGTTTGCTCACACCAGCAAGCCACACTGAATGCATGGTTGTTGGCATGTGCTAGAGGAGCACAGTGCCAATGTGCTGATCCTGGAGCATCACACCTTTGTAGTAGTGATGTAGTGCCAGCTACAAATCGCTTAAAGCTGCTCATACTACTCAGCTTAATACCTGTTCCCTGCTGAAAGGGAAGATGGACAATGCGTTTATTAATTTGAAACATGAGACTTTTGCTTTAGAAAATATAATCTGTTTTCAGTTACACCAAAGTTTTTCTTATTAACCAGGAAATACTACATAGCCGGTTACTGGGTTTGTGGACACATGATAACCTCATTGTTCTTTTGCTTGTGCAATATCCTTCTGCTTAGCTAAGCAACATAGCTGTAGCTTGATAGCTTGTGACTCTTCTTGTATATATGTACATATCTCTTCCCAGTCAGAATTGTTGAATTTATGCACAAATATCGAAAGGTGGCCATGCAAACCAAAAAATGTAACCGAAACTGTATTATAATTGGTATATTTTGATGCTTCCCATACCTTGTAATGTTAGAATCACAGGTCCATGAGTGTAATATGGTTCATAAATCTCTCTCTAGCCTCTAGCCTTACTGGAATGGAAGTTTTCACAGAACAAGGGATGATGTAGCTGTGTTGAGCATTAACATTTAATGAAAGCAATGCCTAAACTAAAAGGTCATGAAGAGTACTGAGGCAAAGGAATGGAAGTCCTCGTTATCTATAGTGAATGAATTTAATGAATACATACATATTCATGGTAATTGACATGGTTGAGAAAATTTACCCAAATACAAGTTAACTAAATTTTACAGAATTCACTGATTTGCATTATTGTAACTTACTTTTCTGTTTTGTATGTTTCAGGTCTCTACAGTCATCAGTAGCATTCGACAAGTGTCTAAAGTTGCACTTCAGGAAGATTCCAAGGTCAGCCGAGATGGTGAAGATGCCTTTTATAATTCACAGAAGTTTGAAGTCTTATATTGCGGGAAAGTGGTCATTGTTCATAAGAATGCTCCGTCTACTCTCGTTGATGATTGCATCGAGAAGTTTCTCTCAACATGAACAGCAGCGCCTGAGACTGCTCAGTGAACAGCGCAGTATAGACTCCAGCTCTGACCTCACATTGGCCGAGACAGATATCTCAGTGTCTCCAACTGATAGTACTTTTCAGGAGCAGGACACTGAGACCAATGCCAATTCTGCCTCCAGGAATCATTCAGGGATGTTTACAATAGGTAGCCAGAGCAATCTTGGTTCTATGCGGGTATCATTTCCTGAGAGCATTCTAGAAGACTCGGGCTTTTGAGGACCAGCAGGAGTTCAGATCTCGATGTAACAGTGTCACTATTCAGAAAAAGGTATATGATGGAAAGATACAATCAAGAAGACGACATGCTAGTGCACCAAGCCATGTCCAGCCATCGGATTCTGAAAAGAACAGGACAATGCTTTTTCAGGTACGTTATAGCCAGGAAATGTTTTTATAAAATGTGTTTCATCCTCCTGTAGAGGGTTAACATTGTTTGTATAACCTCCCTGGCGGTATTCCCGAGTGTAGCTCGGGGTAAGGTTTCAGTACCACAAGCGGTAACCCCGAGCTACACTCGGGAATACCATGCGGCGCTGCTCCACGATCCCTGTATCACTTACCTTTCCTGTGCTGCCACGATGTTCCTGCAGTGTCCCCGGCAATGTAGCATCCGGCGGATGCCGGCATCTGTCATCTGGGTTCCGTCCCCTGTGAGCGTCGGGAGTACGGGGGACGGACGGCGGGAAATTCACAAAATGACAAAAAGTGACATTCACTAAAATCACTAAAATTACATAGTAAAACATTACTGTATCAAACCATTTCACATACATTTTGTCCCTAGTGCTTTGCATCGTGTGATCTGCTTGCATTTTTACTGTTCTTATTGCCTGAAACTGAGAAATGTCCATGGCGTCCAAAAAGCGTCCCTTTAGGTCAAAACGGTTTTAGACCAGCTAGAGAACAGCGACAGTAAATCAGAACCACTTGCAGAATTGAGTGATAATGATTTGTGGGGAAATTCGTCATCAAACAATGAAAACGCAATTTTGCGACTTTGCTCAGCAATGTGCGAACTTGGCGCTATATTTCAAATTTAAGTGTTTTTTGGTTTGATTATATTATTAAATTTATTATTATTATATTATTATTTTTATGATTAAAATTATAATTATGATTTATGTGTTTCAAATTTTGCACCAACATACCCGGATGTTTACTAGACTCTTGTTCGGACAGCTTTTTCAGTGAGTTATTCCTAAAAATTACAGCCCTACAATATAATATGTTTCCATGCTCCTGTAGCGCTTTCAGCACCAAAAATCTGGTTAAACATTGCCAGGGTAGGTTAAAGCAGTATTAAAACGCAAAACCAAAAATGTGCAATATTGCAGCTTACCAATCATTTGATTTGGTGGTTGCATTAGTTTTCTTTTATTTGGTATTTTTCCCCTCTGTTTTCACCTGTGATCTAGCCATAACACAACTACTGTATTAGTGATACACCACTCTGAAGGAATGGGTACAGGACACGGCAGACAGCGGCTTTGTCAGTCTGGGGGAGGGGAGTGTTAAATGTATAAGCAGATTTGAATATAATAACAAATTGAAGCCAAAATCCAGCTCACACTTTATAATCAGTTAAAGCAAACAGTTTGTTTCCTTTTGGAATAAAGGTTTTACATAAATTAATAAAAGCTGATCATTTTAACCACCTCTGTCTCGTCCATGTAAATTGATACATTCTGCTGGAGAATTTGAGCTTCTGAAAAACAGCAGTTACTGTCTGGGTCACCAGATGAAAATAGAAGAAAGAGAACCTAAAAAAGAAAAGGAATGCAGCCATCACATCTAAGAATTGGTAAGTTGTAACATAATATACCATACAGTCAGGTCCATAAATATTGGGACATCAACACAATTCTAACATTTTTGGCTCTATACACCACCACAATGGATTTGAAATGAAAAGAACAAGATGTGCTTTAACTGCAGACTGACAGCTTTAATTTGAGGGTATTTACATCCAAATCAGGCGAATGGTGTAGGAATTACAACAGTTTGCATATGTGTCTCTCATTCGTTAAGGGACCAAAAGTAATGGGACAATTGGCTTCTCAGCTATTCCATGGCCAGGTGTGTGTGTTATTCCCTCATTATGAAAATTACAATGAGCAGATAAAAGGTCCAGAGTTCATTTCAAGTGTGCTATTTGCATTTGGAATCTGTTGCTTTCAACTCTCAAGATGAGATCCAAAGAGCTGTCACTATCAGTAAAGCAAGCCATCATTAGGCTGAAAAAACAAAACAAACCCATCAGAGAGATAGCAAAAACATTAGGCGTGGCCAAAACAACTGTTTGGAACACTCTCCAGGAGGTATGTGTATGTGTGTCAAAGTCCACAATCAGGAGAAGACTTCACCAGAGTGAATACAGAGGGTTCACCACAAGATGTAAACCATTGGTGAGCCTCAAAAATAGGAAAGCCAGATTAGAGTTTGCCAAACGACATCTAAAAAAGCCTTCACAGTTCTGGAACAACATCCTATGGACAGATGAGACCAAGATCAACTTGTACCAGAGTGATGGGATGAGAAGAGTATGGAGAAGGAAAGGAACTTCTCATGATCCTAAGCATACCACCTCATCAGTGAAGCATGGTGGTGGTAGTGTCATGACGTGGGCATGTATGGCTGCCAATGGAACTGGTTCTCTTGTATTTATTGATGATGTGACTGCTGACAAAAGCAGCAGGATGAATTCTGAAGTGTTTCGGGCAATATTATCTGCTCATATTCAGCCAAATGCTTCAGAACTCATTGGACGCCGCTTCACAGTGCAGATGGACAATGACCCAAAGCATACTGCAAAAGCAACTAAAGAGTTTTTTTAAGGGAAAGAAGTGGAATGTTATGCAATGGCCAAGTCAATCACCTGACCTGAATCCGACTGACCATGCATTTCACTTGCTGAAGACCTAACTGAAGGGAAAAATGCCCCAAGAACAAGCAGGAACTGAAGACAGTTGCAGTAGAGGCCTGGCAGAGCATCACCAGGGATGAAACCCAGTGTCTGGTGATGTCTATGCGTTCCAGACTTCAGGCTGTAATTGACTGCAAAGGATTTGCAAGTAATCAAGTATTAAAAAGTGAAAGTTTGATTTATGATTATTATTTGTCCCATTACTTTTGGTCCCTTAACAAGTGGGAGGCACATATGCAAACTGCTATAATTCCTACACCGTTCACCTGATTTGGATGTAAATACCCTCAAATTAAAGCTGACAGTCTGCAGTTAAAGCACATCTTGCTCGTTTCATTTCAAATCCATTCTGGTGGTGTATAGAGCCAAAAATGTTAGAATTGTGTTGATGTCCCAATATTTATGGACCTGATTGTATATTGCCAAACATATTGGGGCACCCCTCCAAATCATTGGAATCATTGTATTCAGGTGTTCCAATCACCACCATGGCCACAGGTGTATAAAATCAAGCAACTAGGCATGCAGACTGCTTCTACAAACATTTGTGAAAGAATGAGGAGCTCTCAGGAGCTCAGTGAATTCAAGCGTGGTACTGTGATAGGTTGCCACCTGTGCAATAAGTCCATCTGTGAAATTTCCTTGCTACTAAATATTCCACAGTCAAATGTTAGTGGTATTATAACAAAGTGGAAGCAACCGGGAAAAACAGCAACTCAGCCACAAAGTGGTAGGCCACGTAAAATGACAGAGCGGGGTCAGTGCATGCTGAAATGCACAGTGTGCAGAAGTCGCCAACTGTCTGCAGAGTCAATAGCTAAAACCTTCAAACTTCATGTTGTCTTCAGATTAGCACAACAATCGTGCATAGAGATCTTCATGGAATGGGATTCTGTGGCCGAGCAGCTGCATCCAAGCCTTACATCACCAAGTGCAATGCAAAGCATTGGATGCCATGGTGTAAAGCACACCGCCACTTGACTCTAGAGCAGTGGAGATATGTTCTTTGGAGTGACGAATCGCGTTTCTCTGTCTGGCAATCCGATGGATGTCTGGGTTTAGCGGTTGCCAGGAGAACGGTACTTGCCTGACTGCACTGTGCCAAGCGCAAAGTTTGGTGGAGGGGGGATTATGGTGTGGGGTTGTTTTGTCAGGGGTTGGGCTTGGCCCCTTAGTTCCAGTGAAGGGAACTCCCAAAGTGTCAGTATACCAAGACATTTTGGACAATTTCATGCTCCGAACTTTCTGGGAACAGTTTGGGGATGGTCCCTTCCTTTTCCAACATGACTGCACACCAGTGCACAAAGCAAGGTCCATAAAGACATGGAAGTAACCTGACTGGTCTGCACAGAGTACTTACCACAACCCAATAGAACACCTTTGGGATGAATTAGAGAGGAGACTGAGAACCAGGCCTTCTCGTCCGACATCAGTGCCTGGCCTCACTTCTGAAAAATGCATTCCTTCTGAAAGAATGGTCACACATTGCCATAGACACACACCTAAACCTTTGTGGACAGCCTTCCCAGAAGAACTGAAGCTGTTATAGCTGCAAAGGGTGGGCCAACTCAATATTGAACCCTACAGACTAAGACTGGGGTGCCATTAAAGTTCATGTGCGTGTAAAGGCAGGCATCCCAATATTTTTGGCAATATAGTGTAATATGCAATATGTTTGCTTTTGGGTTTAATACTGCTTTAAGAATTTGAGCATTACCACACAAATCAAGGTCTGACAAGTTTGTAGCTCTGGCCTTGAAATTTCCACTTCTGCTCGCCAATGGTGAGTGGACATTATGGTGGGGGCAAGTGTGTCTTCCAGGGCCATCTTGCTGAGCAGGCTCGGAGCTCAGGCCGAATCTGTCATTGGCACTGGGAGCCGTCAGACTGTTCAATAGCTGAGCGCAGTGAAAGCAAAGGAAGGAATGTGTGCTGTGCTCGCTGCCTCCCCCTAGAGTGCAGTACCTGGCTCTTTGAGTGAACAACGAAGTACTGCAACTTTTTATAGGGGTGTGTTTGCCTACCTAATTTCAGCTCACCCTGGTCACATGATCCTCTGTCAGCCAGTGGTGGCTTCAGGATAGAGGATAGAGCACTTAACAGTGTGCGTGTGTGTGTGTGTGTGTGTGTGTGTGTGTGTGCAAAATCTAGATTTTTAGGAAAAAATATTAATAGTTGTTTTTTTTTTTTTTCATTAAACCGTATCTCCCCCCCCAGAAAAAAAAAACATTCAAAGCTGCATTTTCCTTGCACATAAAAAGCTATCAAACTAATTTTTGTTGAAAGAAGGCCATCCAAGTGAAGTGAAGGCTCATCACTACTGACAAATTATTAGTCCAGCTCTGTATTTTTCAAGCATTCTGTTTCATATTTCCTGTGAGCTTCCAATTTGGCATGTTATCAAAATGCAACACACTGATTTACTGAAAGGAAACCTGTAGTAA